AACAAAATACAAATCTAATCAAAAACACCTTAGGTGTGAAAAAAAGGTGTGACCAAAAAGGACTGAGCGTACGACTTAAAAGAATGAAATCAAAATTAGCGGTCAAACTGTTATCTATGCTTATAGCGTTGATAAGAATTTTTACAGCAAATATTCATTCAGATTGCGAATCGAGCGCCCTAACCACCAGGCCCTCGATAAATGGACAAGGAAAACATAAATTTGGCTAGATTCACCTTTAGAAAGTGCTAGAGTTTTAGTAATATTGTTTCCCAGAATTATCATTATTAATATTAGGTATTAAGATCGTAATAAAGACTTTCTACACCGTTATTTTTGTTTTCATTGTGATATTTGTGTAAGTTATACTTTTAATGTTTTAAGCTAGTTGTTTGCTAGATAAAACTGCTAACATGATGATGACGATAGATTTAAAAGGTTTTAACAGTTTATAAAAGTAGTCTTAGAATATGTAAAATATTTGTGAATGTTATTGATCGAGAGACTTTGCGAAATAGGAAGTAACAAAGGTACATTATAAATACGAGTAAGAGTGCCAGTCAGTGAGTGAAATATTCATTTGAGCAGTGAAAGCGAAGTCAGAGAAGTTAATGAATTATCACGTATATTTAATGTTTGTAATCTGTTGAAGGACCGTGCTAATTATACCAGTAGAGGGCGCCAATAGCGATGCGGTCTTTGTCTATAGTTAGATACCCGAATGTTTATATTCTTCATGTTCTTTGTCTCGCCTTGTTATCGTGTTTTCTGTTTCCTTCATAAGTATAATATAATAATAAAAAATATAATAGCTCAAAATGGCTCAAACGATTTGTTGTGTGCGTGGATGTTCTAAGAGAGGTGGTCATTCATGGCCTTCAAATCTGGAATTATCTAGAAAATGACTTCATGCGTTCAGACGGGACCAGTGGAAACCGAAGAATGGAGCTGTCGTTTGTCTTGACCACTTCGTGTTTGACATCTATGTATCTGAAACTAGCTTTGGTAGGCCTATGCCTAATAACTTTTTCAGTAATTCTGCTTTTCATTTAGAAATTCATCTAAAATTATTCTCATTTTATAAGTTTTTATGTTGTGTCAAGTACTAAAATTTTATTTTCAAATTAAACTCCCCCCCCCCATCACGTCCCATTTAGTTAAACCTAGTGTACAAAATGATATTTATAGGCCTATGACTAGGCTTATGTAATGCATGATACTCGATAGAGACTAATATTTCAATAATACTTACCCGGTATATAAAAATCTATAGTGGCCTGGAAAATGGTTGTCAGCAAATATTATAAAAATAAACAAATATATATGTTTCAACCAGCCAATAGTTGACACACCTAAGGAAACTATCCTAGCCCTAGGCCTATAAAATGTCAGTGCCAGTGCCAAATATGCATATTTAAAAGTTAGTCATTATCATTATTTTCATTTAATAGCTTCAATTCTATCGTTTTATTCAGCAATTTAGAACAAAGTTTTTACCAACATATTGTTACGACAGCGGAAGTCACGCGACGCTGGAAGTATGCGCGCTGGAGTTTCTAGAAAGATCATGACTTTTCCTGGCAACTCTAGTCTGTTCCAGGCGCCATCTTTTTTAGTATATAAGTCCGGCAAATAATTGAGTCAAGCGAGCAGTAGTGACGGTAATATAAAGTGTGTCTTTTGTTATCGAGATTGCAAACGTAT